CTTAATGACCTAATTGAAACTGACGTCGATGTGACCATATCACTTAGTGATGTAATTGTAGGTCGCTACTGTGATCAGTAAATCAGGCAGGACTACCTGTAATGTACATGGAACAAAATGATTGAAAGACTAAATGTCTATGGAGATTCTCAGTCATCCAGGTCATAGTTGTCCCAAAGATGCTTTTCCATGGGGCAACTGGACTTTCTTGTTTTTCCTTTGAAGATATTTCACTTTTCATCCAAGAAGCTTCAGAAGCTTCACAGCTGAAGAAGCTTCTTGGATGAGAAGCGAAACGTCTTCAAAGGAAAAACGAGAAAATCCAGTTGCCTCATGGAAAAGCATCTTTGGGACAGTTGAAAGAATAGTATTTAATAGTGATTTCTGTCTGTGTTTGTATATTCCTTGTCATGTTGATGATTATCAAAAATGCAACAAAAATCTTTCAATTTTAATCAGGAACTATTCTTCTGAAGTAGGGAAAAGTATGCTTTCACCTATATTCTGTTTCAAATTCAAGCAATATTTGTTAGTTCTTCCACGAACATACACTTTGGGAAATGTATTTGACATCTCCTTTTGCTTTTATGCATTTAGAAGTATAAATGCTTCTTTAAAAAACCAGATCAATTTAAATTTTAAAAATCCCCAAAGTTGGAATATTTATCTGATGATTTTATGTTTATCAAATTGTCCAGCAAATCATCATGATACTATTAAGTGGAGAAATTACATTTCTCCTTTGCAGTAATAGGGAATAGGATATTTGGAGATCAAAGCATCATGACTGACTAAACAAGAAACATTTCATCAAAGTAATATTTGCTTGCAAATAATGTAAAAACTGCAAAATAGTCCCTTATTTGGAAGAAATCTGGAAAAGCTGGATACTTGGACAATAATAAAGATGTGATATAAATAAAAAAATGAGTTATTTAGAGCTAATATGATTTTATTAAACTATGTTTTCTTCTGATACTGTACTGTATTACTTTAGAATGTTCGTTTTGTTTTTGGGAGTTTGCCCAAAATATCCCCTAGAACTGAGGACTTATAGTACTATATTCTGAAATAAGTTTCTGGGTTTATAGCTAAATATACAGTTGATGTCTGAGGACTTCAGTACTTTGTATCAAATGCATAAGCATTTTATTATTTGTTGTAACATTAAGAATTGTTACAAGTAGTCCTCACGTTACAACTATTCATTTAGTGACTATTCAAAGTTACAAAGGCACTGAAAAAGTGACATGACAATTTTTCACACTTACAACTGTTGCAGCATTCTCATGGTCACATGATCAAAATTTGGACAACTGGCATGTATTTATCACTGTTGCCGTGTCCTGGGATCATATGATCTCTTTTTGACTTTCTGCCAAGCAGTCAACAGGGAAGCAGGATTCACTTAACAACTGTGGCAAGAAAGGTTGTAAAATGGAACAAAACTCACATAATAGCTATCTTGCTTAGCAACAAAAATTTTGGGCTCAATTGTCATAGGTTGAGGACTACTTGAACTAACTTAGGTTGATAATAGTATTGAATCAACCAAAGTATATTCTGGGGATCAGTATAAAGGCCATCCATTGCTGAATCTTTCATTTTTGGGCTGTAATTCAACAGTCCAGATTCCATAGTTATGAAATAATCTTAATGTTATTTTAGGGAAAAAACAGGAGGGAGTGTTAGAAAGAAAGGGGAGAGGATTCTTACAGGAGCAGCCTGAAGATTGCTTAATATTGTAGTGTGGGCTCATTCTCTATTGCATTTCTCACTCAAAGTTTAGTTTATATATAGTAACTAACATGTATTTTAGCTTTCTGTCTTTCTTACTTCACAAATTGGTAACAAAGCAATCTCTAAATTTTAACATATTGTGAAATGTTATGGACATATTTTTGGATTTTTTGTAATGAAGGTTGTGCTTTAACTTATTACCAGTTGTGGTTCATTGCTGCCATTGAAGGAAATTTTATTTATTAAGAACAATATCATCTTATAATTAGACATGACGTTCTGTGAGTTGTTTGCAAGTTTAAAAACAAGTTACTTAAAAACAAAGACATGGGATGACTGAATAACAGCATCTGGTAAGAATGACTGTCTGATGCCCGGATTGGACAGAGAAACTTTGTTCCTGGACTTTTGTCTGAGTTTGTGTAGAAGATTTAATGTTCTTAGATTTTAGTTGCATGCGCATTTAAAAAAAAAAAAGATCTCTTCAATTTTGCTTTTCTGGTATGCTGATGTTTAGAAATTAAATGAGACAGAAAAAACCCATTACCCAGGATGCTTTGTTAGTAGGAGAGGGTAAACTTGATTACAGCCAGCACTGGGTTTCAATATGGGTACATAAAAGCATTTAGCTTGTGATGGCTGCACTAAAAATAGCTTTTGAGCAGAGTTTGCAGTCGGGTCTAATTTCGGGGTTTAGCTGAGTTGGCCATAAAGATCTTCCTTTGCTGCTGTCGCAAGGCTTATATGAGAGTGAATTTTGCTGTTTGTATCTTGGACACTGGTTTTATATTAAAGTGTACTTTATTCATGGAAAAAAGGATCTGATACCATGGCTGAATATTCAGGTATGTCTCTGATAGCTTGGAATATTGAATGTATTTATGACTTTCAAATTGAGCAACAAAATTTAAAATACTGTTAGCTAAAAAGTAAATGGCATTTTTAAGTTTAAAAATTTGAAATGTTATCTCATTTATTGTACGTTCCATTACACAAGATACTTGATTTTAGAATTCTTTAAATAAGTGATTGAACATAGATCGTTTTAATAGCAAAATACAATATTGTAAAAATACAGCAGGATTAATATCATACAATTAAAACAATTAAAATATATTTCTTGACATGTTAATGCATAATCATACTGCCATAGACAAGTGGTGGATGACAGCAAAGGCATACCAGTTTTGGAAATTGACCTACTTTCTGATTACTGGCAGCATCTGTGTGAAAGATAGTAACTTTTATTTAGCTCTGAAAAATTAGTTTAAATCGTAAAGTTTTTAATGAGCACTTTTGGCTTTGTTAAATATCATTTTATAAATTTGAAAGGCAGGGTAAAAAATGAGATTTTCATGTGATTTCTAAGAGAAGACCAAACAGAAACTAGTCCTCTCGTAAATGTTTGAAGGCTTAAGAGATTTGCACGCCCATAGCAGCAATGGTTTCACTGTTCTAAAAATAAATATAAAATTGTGATATCTTTAGAAATACTAAATAGTTTGGTTCAAAAAATATTATGTGAAAATGTTTTCATTTATATGAACCCAATCATATTTTACATAGATATTTATATTCAAGGTACACCAGTTCTCTCTCTCTTTCTCTCTTTTCTCTTTCTCCTCTTCAGTGTTTTCTATGAACATTTATAATATTGAATACTTTATGATACTGTGAATAATAAAGATAGGGGACATTATAAAACTGCAGTTTTCCAGTAGATTTTAAACTGATTGAAAAGATAAGAAATATAAACATATGTTTAGAAATACTATATACTGGATTATATGTGTGTGACCTAAAAAAAGGAAACTCGATGCACTCGACTAGGAGTAAGCATAATTTAAATTTAAATTAGTTGGTGCAAGTCTTGTATGCACATGCATTATATGAGTTAATAGGAGGAAAATATCATTAATGGTATTTGCTAGAAAGAACAAACAAATGGTATTTTTAAGCAGTAGGTGAAACAATGGAAGTAGAAAGAAAATAGAAAAGAAAATAGGCAGAAAAAACAATGTATATTTATTTGTTATTTATTTTTCTTGTTTATATTGCCGGTAACATTACTCTCAATGAAGAAAAAACACTTCCTCTCAGATCTAAAGTATAGCATTAAAGTTAAATAAATATAAATGAAGCAATTAATTTTTGAACAAGTGGGTTTTTAGAATTTTGTATTGACATGGCCCATGGCTAATTTCTCATATATTTTAAGTGTTGATATTGTGTTTCTGATAAATAAAAGTGGATCTGAAAACACTCCAATGAATTTTATCTTGTCGCAAAGGAGTGAATTTGCATGTCGAAATTAATGCAAAAATTGATCTTTTCTGTGTAATTAAATTAAAACAAATTTAATTCAGAAAACTCAAGTAGCAGATGTTAGAACTAGATTTCTTCCTTATCAATATCGATTGCAATTGGCCCTGGAAAAAGAGGAATCACTAGAACACCATGCTTCCAATCCCCTAAGCTACTCAAAAATAGTACAGTGATTAATGGTATGAAAGACTGCTGAAAAATCAAAAAGAGCCAGAAGTGGAATGCACTCTCCCTATCTTGAGCCTATCATGTCATCACAAAGTGCAGCCAATGCTATCTCAGCCTTATATCCTGGTTAGAAGCCAGACCTAAAGAGATACAGAAAATCCATTGCCTTCATGGTCCTTTGAGATTGTAGCCTAATCACCTTGAAAAGAGAAGGTTGCAAACTAAATGAAAATTATCCAGCTCTGTTAGACTGATGGTTTCTTGAAAAGGGGGTAGACCCCGTCACCTTCATATCTAATAAAACCATCCCCTTTCTCAAGGATATATTCAGTACTTGGATCAGATCACATGTCAACTCCTGGGAGGTCTTGACCAACAAGGGAAGGACATGGATTCAAAATACAGGTGTCTGGGCTTACAGTCCCAAGGACCTTCTCTACTTTCTTAGGAATTAAGTTGCAGAAACTGGTGGATCAAGACCACCTAAGCTCGAATGACCAGGCAAAGAGGTAGGGAACTGGAGAATATGATTACCAGTAAGCGCTACTCCTGAGGAGTACTCCATCTCTTTCTCTTGCCATGCCATGCACATTTCACCACTTGGATTTAATTGCCTGCTCTTAATTTATCCTTTTTTAATCTGTGAACAAACTTTAGAAATAGTGTCCTGTATTTAATAGTAACATTACATTTTATGTACATTTTATTTAGCAATTCATTTCCAAAGTTTTTAACGTCTGATAATATTTCATTTTTATATCTTACAGAAGCAAAACATGGTGGAAACAAGAGTGCCAAGAAAGAAGGAGTTTCTGGGAGCTCTTTTTTTACATGGTTCATGGTAATTGCACTTCTGGGAGTATGGACATCAGTTGCAGTAGTTTGGTTTGAACTTGTTGATTACGAGGAAGTACTAGGTAAGAATTCAGTCATAGTAATATCTTAAGATTCAATTTCCTACTTTGCTATACCAATATTTATTCATTTATGTAAAACATTTTTATGGTTTCCCATGTTAGGTTTCCCACAGCAGCCAACAGGCATACATATAATAAAAATACAACAAAATTAAAAATTCTTATATACCACCAGCAGCCATAACACTCCTGGCCTATCATTGAAAGAGGCCATGAGGATAGGGGCTCTCTGTATCTCAGCATGGAGGCTAGGTGCCACTATGGAAAAAGTCTTGCTTCCTAGGTCCCATTAGATGGCAAGATTTAATAGACCTGGAGCACAGCCACCTATCCAATCTGGGAGGATGTCCTCGGGAAGAGGTATTTGCTCAGATAAACTGACCCTGTGCTATTCAAGGCTTTAAAGTTAATGAACAGCTACTTGAATTACATCTAGAAAGAAAAAGGAACCCAGGCAGCTTATAATATTGGCAAACTCTGGGCAGCCCAGAATTGTTGCTCCATTTTGGACCAGTTGAGGTTTCTGGGTGGTCTTCAAGAGTAGTTCCATGTATCACGCATTGCAGTAGTCCACGCAGGACATGAGTAAGGCACAAGTGACTGTGACCTGAGACTTCTGGCCTAGGAATGAGCACAATATTTGTTTATTTATTTGTATCCAAACTTTATTCTTTTTACAAATAACTCATGGTGGCAAACATATCTAACACAATTTTGTCTTCTATTTTCTCCACAACAACAACCCTGTGAAATAAGCAGGCTGAGACAGAGTAACTGGTCTACGGTCACCCAACTAGCTTTTATGGCTAAGGCAGGGCAAGAACTCACTGCCTCTGGCTTTCTATACACTAGACCAAACTGGCTCTCAGTAGGGACACTAAATACAGTATGCACACAAAATGAATTTTTGCAAAGCCCCTTGAACCATGGCTGACAGCTGTTCTTCAATCAGGAGCCATGAGTCCAAGAGGACTCTCAAATTCTGTGCAGGGAATTGCTGTTCCATCAAGAGTTAAAGATAGCAGCTCTCCCAATTCCAGAGGACACAGAAACACAAAGCCACTTATCTTTCTACAATTGAATTATAGCTAGTTCCTCCCCATCCAAGCCTTATGGCTTCCAGGCACTGAGTTTGTCAGAGATGAATAACTAAGTAACATCAGTGTGCTGATGATACTTCACCCCATGCTGCCAAATATAATCTCACCATAGCTTCATGCAGTATTAAAACAGAGGTGTGAGAGAACAGCCCTCCCTCAGGTAAGAGGAGCCTTGATTTCTTTCCCCCTACCAACAATGACTGGGACTGGTTATGGAGGAAAGAGGATAACCATCACAAAATTGTGCCTCATTTCTAACTCCCTAAACCAATCCAGAAGAATACCAATGCTTTTAGTTCTCTTAACTACTTTCACTACAAATGTAAGGTGAGGATCTAGGTAAGTTATCCAATGTTGTTGGGTCCAATAATAACTTATTGAGGAAGGGGCAAATCACTGCATTCTTCAAGCCGGATGGAACCATATTCTTTCTCAAAGTGGCATTAACTACTGCTTGGACACAGTCACGTGTCACCTCCTACAAAGCCTTAGACAGCCAGGACAGACAGAATCCAGAACATAGGTGGCAGAGGTGACAGCAGTAAAAATTCTGACCATTTCCTTAGGATCAGCTGTCTGAAATTGTCTGGATTAACTAAGCAAAGATGGACCTCAGTCATTTCTGAAGGACCTGCTCAGCTTGATTCCAACTTAGTGCAAATCTACGCGACTTTATTGAACTGATACCTAGAATATTATTCACAGTGGCCTTGCAGGTGTTTCTCCAGTTCCTGGAGAATATTAATATTAAAATCTGGTTCAAAACTTTAACAATAGTAAATTCTTATTCATTTTTCATTACCATTTTTAGTAAAAACAATCAAAGCAAGAAAGCCAGTTTGGAGGGGAGGTTAAAGTGTTGAACTAAGAACAGAGAAAGCATTTGATAAAGTAGATCACAACCTACTACTCGATAAGATAGAAAAATGTGGGTTAGACAGCATCACCACCAGATGGATTCGTAGCTGGCTGACCGGCAGTACTCAGCGTGTGGTCCTCAATGGAACCACGTCTACATGGAGGGAAGTGTGTAGTGGGGTGCCCCAGGGCTCTGTTCTAGGCCCAGTGCTCTTCAACATCTTCATCAATGATTTGGACGAGGGGATAGATGGGGAACTCATCAAATTTGCGGATAACACCAAGCTGGCAGGAATAGCCAACACTCCAGAAGACAGGCTTAAGATACAGGAGGACCTGGACAGACTTGAACACTGGGCGCTATCTAACAAAATGAAATTCAATGGTGAAAAAAGTAAGGTTCTACATTTAGGCAAGAAAAACCAAATGTACGGGTATAGTATAGGGGGTACCTTGTTCAATAGTAGTAACTGTGAGAGGGATCTCGGAGTCCTAGTGGACAATCACTTAAATATGAGCCAGCAATGTGCTGCAGCTGCCAAAAAAGCCAACAGAGTGCTGGGCTGCATTAACAGAGGGATAGAATCAAGATCACGTGAAGTATTAATACCACTTTACAATGCCTTGGTAAGGCCACACTTGGAATACTGCATCCAGTTTTGGTCACCATGATGTAAAAAAGATGTTGAGAATGTAGAAAGAGTACAGAGAAGAGCAACAAAGATGTTTAGGGGACTGGAGGCTAAAACATATAAGGAACGGCTGCTGGAATTGGGTATGTCTAGTTTAATGAAGAGAAAGACGAGGGGGACATGATAGCAGCATTCCAATATCTCAGTGGCTGCCACAAAGAAGAGGGAGTCAAGCTATTTTCCAAGGCACCTGAAGGCAGGACAAGAAGCAATGGGTGGAAACTAACCAAAGAGAGAAGCAACCTAGAACTAAGGAGAAACTTCTTGACAGTTAGAACACTTAACCAATGGAAAAACATGCCTCCAGAAATGGTGAACTGGAAGTTTTTAAGAAGAAACTGGACAGCCATTTGTCCGAAATGGTATAGGGCTTCCTGCCTGAGCAGGGGGTTGGACTAGATGACCTCCAAGGTCCCTTCCAACAACAACAACATCATCATCATCATCATCATCATCATCATCATCATCATCATTATTATTATTATTATTAAATGCATAAAGTTCAAATACAGGATCCTTTCTTGGAAGGGAGATTGCTGAAAAAAACGAGTAGCATAGGCTATGGATTTCTAGCTATTTCTTGTAATTCTTAATATCTTGAAGGATGGTGGCTATGCTCCAACACTGGAAGTTTTTAAGAAGAGACTGGACAGCCATTTGTCTGAAATGGTGTAGGGTCTGAGCAGGGGGTTGGACTTGATGACCTCCAAGGTCCCTTCCAACTTTATTATTATTATTAAAAGTTCTTGTTTAGGCATCAAAGCCATCTGGGTGATTTGGGGCCATTCACTCTGTCTGAGCCCTAGGAATAAGGCAATGACAAACAGTTCTGAAAATCAAGAAAACTGCATCAACCTGTCTATTTAGTCATCAGAAAATAAGACTGACTTGAAGGCACAAAATAAATATTAAAATGCAAGCAATTAGATTAGGAAAGTATTAGATATATTGTATTTATAACTACTAGTATATTAAGTCCAGGGGGCAGAGAAAAGATGAATATGAAAATTGAATATGGACAGTTTTGTGGGTTCTGATAATGTGAGTAATGGTATCTGTATTTTTGCCATGCATGCAGCCAAGGCAAAGGACTTCCGTTATAACTTGTCAGAAGTACTTCAAGGTAGGATTATAGAGGAATGCTTAAATTATGTGTTATACTTGATGGGGTTGATTTATAAAATTTTATTTAAAAAAAAACCAGCTATTTTTCTTTCTCTCTAGAGAAGATGCTTTTATTTCCAGATAACTTTTGAAGCTGTGGTGAAATTAACTTTAGTAAGAAAATGTGCTGTGCTGTTACCCCCTCTTTTTTTTTTTTTTTTTTTAACTTCTGAAGAGGATAGGACTGATTTTCTTCAGATTTATCTTTCTGCTTTTCCTTATTTTACATTGTTTTTGAATATTTAGCTTCTTTCCCCTGGCTTGTGAAATTGATACATAAAAGAGGAAATAAGTAGCAGGAAAAAGCAGATCATCTGAATAGTGTTTTGCTGTTGATATTTACTTCTGTAGATAAGATTTTAATGCCATTGGCACACTTTTGTGAATAGCTTAACAGGATGTTTTATTTTCTTTTTCCTATATAAAGTTGTTTGGGGACATTTGGTTAGATTGTCAAAACACTACTTGCCTAAATAATACAGAAATAGTTTGCCAATTGTCTTGGTTTTAATTCGGGCAGGGGGACTAGGAATTTGAGAAATGAAATGAAACTGCGTTTTGCTTTCCTGTATCAAACTTTACATTTGTATATTGTTGTGAAATGGCTATAGGGAAAATTATAACAAACCTCCAATATCAAGGCTATGAAAATCAATGTAGGAGTTCTTGGCAGAATCTGTGGAACATTTGCCCTGGTTCTTTAGATTGTAATAATTTATCTGTATTTTGAGATTATATGGAAAGAAAATGTTTAAAAAAGTGCTATTCTGCATTATTTCAAAACAATGTGGGTAAGCAAAACATTTAAAAGAGATATTTTGTAGAAATGTTTGCCCTGAAAGCAATATAATTTTCAGAATGCTATGAAGGCTGACACCTGGCTCTTTTCTGCATCTTGTCATGCACAGCCACTTTGCTTTACTGATGGTTCCCACAAGGAACAACTGTTGAAACAGCTGTGCAAGTCTTCCATTGGTCATTTTAATGCATTTAAGAGGAATTCTTTGCTCATTCTAACACTTTTATAAAGGTACCTACTTCAGATGATTTGTACTTCCCTAAAAAATGTATGCAGCAATTAACTAGGTTGACAACCTTACCAAGCCATAATATAGTACATTTCATTTTATCCTTCTGTGTTCTGTAAACTCAGTCAATTGTAATTTACTCAATTTTCCAAAGGATAATTGTATTCTTATTTTTGTTCTTTATTTATTCAATTTGTATAGCTATCCATCTCAGACCAATGACTCTGGTCAGCAAATAATCATAAAAACAATTGTCCCAAAGGTGCTTTTTCAAGAGGCAACTGGACTTTCTTTGTTTTTCCTTGAAGATGTTTTGCTTCTAATTCAAGAGGCTTCTTCGGTTCCAGAACTTTGTTTTAAGGAAAAACAAAGAAAGTCCAGTTGCCTCTTGAAAAAACACTTTTGGGACAACCATGATCTGGATGACTGAGAATCTCCATAGACATAAAAACAGTTAAACACAGTATAGAAAAATTAAGTACAAGTAGCAGCTGAGAGTTACTATAATCCATCAGTAGAGAAATCTGGGAAATCCAACAGCTGTCTCAATTTAGGCATGTTGTTTGGAAACTCAATTATGACATTAGTTCTAAACTGTATAGCAAATTATATTTTAGAGCAGTTTCCTGCTTTGCTTTCTGTTTTGTTCCTTTTTTTGATGTGCTTTGGCCTTTGAAGCCAGAAAATAACTCAAACCTCTCAAATTATTGCTAGACCATTTGACATGGTTATAAGTTGCCTCTTGGACAGCTTTTTAGCAAATCTGTTAAACCTGAACAGGTTTTTTTTCCCCCTTTCAGTAAATAGTAATCCCCCTAGTGTTTGCCAACTTGACATGTTCCTCATTAAGTAAGGTATTGGATATCTGCAGCTATTCCAGATGCAAATTTTATTTGAAGCAAGTATATCTTTACATTGCTTATATCTACCTTATTCCTGAATGTGAAGTTTCTGAAATCAGAATCTGCATATTTAGGGACTAGATATATAAATATATTAGTACACAATCATATATACATAGTACACAATATATTATTAGTTATTTGTTAAGAAGAGTCATATTCCTGTTGAAGTGAAGTTTCCACTGATGTAAAAAGAATAGGATTAAAGTTATATCATTTATTTTGTGTAAATATATCAAATACAAAATTGTTTCTTTAATGTTAGCAGATACTGTGATGTCATTTTAGCATTATGAAGGGATTTTGGATTCAAATACTAATATACTTTATTTTAAGAAGAAACAACATGTATATTCAAAATGGCTTACATTTGCATTTAAGATTCTAGTAAAAAATATCCAACATTATTTTTTTTTCTTCTTTGCTAATTTTTCACCATTCAAAGATTCTGAAACAGATTCATTTCTTCCCCTTTAGGAAAACTTGGGATCTATGATGCTGACGGTGATGGTGATTTTGATATGGAAGATGCCAAGGTTTTGCTAGGCAAGTAGATATTTTAAAAGTGCGATTCAAAAATGCGACATTCAGACAGAAAGTGTAACACATTGTAAAGTTATCTGGAATCTTAACAGTATTGGTAAAGGTCTATGATGCCAACAATGTATTGCTATAGAAGAATAATTTGTCTTTGATGTTGAACTCACGTTTTTATCTATAGTATGTTCAAGATTTTTGTGGGAGTTGCCTATTTTATATGCATTTATTTTGTTTTTATTTTTAAATAAAATAAGTGGATTGTGAAAAAGATAATAGTGCTTGGTCCTAGGCTGATTTCTCCCTCCCAATCTCTTAATTCATTAAGTTCTGAAGACTTTGGGTAGGGTAAAGGAAACAAAAAAGATGCTGACAATTCTTCAGCCACCACATTGTCACTTATTCCTGGCAGTGTGGTGGCTTAGTGGTGAAGACACTCACCTTCCATTCGGAAAGGTTGAGACATCAATCCTAGGTAGCAGCAGATGTTTCTCTCTTAGGGTGCAAAGAGAAAATATCTGCTGTGGACTCTGCCTATTCATCCAAAAGGGCATCTGGCCAATAAACATTTAGCTCGAATCAGTCGCCCCGAAAAAAGAAAACAATTTTTCCTGGCATGTAAGGGTTACTGAATGATTAACTTTCAATGCTTCTGGTCACAATGAAGCATATTCAAGATAAAGGGCCCTCAAACTTTGAAATTGACACTAGTATTGACCAAGAATTAGATCATGCTTAAGATAGATCTCTTAAAATGAACTGGATTTAATTACCTGCTTAATTTACCCGTTCCATTGATTACAGGTCTTCTTGGAACATAAACATATTTGATCCAAACTTTTGCCCTGCCTTTCTGAAAATATACATCTAGTAGCCTTATACTCAGAACCACTCTTATGAAGTACTAAAGCATCAAGAACTATAGAGGAAAAGGCAAAAGTACTTGCACTGAATATATACTTTAGTCTATTTTTGTTCTCCTGAAGAAAGTCCATCTATGTTGTTAAGATTCAGCACCAACCTGACAGTGCATGATCATTATCAGTTTATTTTTGTCATATAAAGTGGCATGTTCAGTACTCCTCATAATTTGATTTACTTCTGCAATCTATGGGAAAAGGGGACATAAAAATTATTTGCTATCATGGTTTAAGTCCTTTTGTTTTCCACTAATAGTAAAGAAAGAAATGATAGAAAGTAATTTAGTCAGGTAGTTAGCTATATGAGCAATTTAACTAGTGCAAAATGTTTCAGAATTGGAAAGTATCATGCTCAATGCATCCTATTCCAAATAACTGTTTTGACATTATCAATGCTGGTTTTATGTTATAATCATTCTAGAAATATTCACAACTCAAAATATTTCTAGAAGGGTGAATAAAATTGTAACAACCTTTTGGATTTAGAATGTTTTGCATATCCTATTGAAGAGACATAAGATCTAAAATGAAGCATTTTCCTGCAAGCAATTTCAGTCTCCACATATAACAATAGTTTCCTAACTTGGGTGGTGGTTATGGGAGCATAGTTGTCAGTACTAACTTAGCATGGATATTAGTAAATTGTTCCTCAATTAAGACTTGAGTAAAATTTAGGGCAGAAGCAGAAACATTCTAGCTGTGCTCGGCAGGGGTAAACAGGAAGCATCTAGATCAGTGATGGCGAACCTTTTAGAGACCGAGTGCCCAAAAACTGCCCCCCCCGCTCCACCCCCTGCCCCACCCCTGCCTCACCCTTGCCTGCCCACAGGGCCACTCATCGCCTCCAGGGCCCGCCGCAGATCGCCCAGGCAGCCCAGCAGCGCCATGGTGGCCACGCCCTCTGCCCGCGCCCCACAGCATCAACTGTGCGGGATGGGGCATGAAGGCAGAGTCTTGTCTACACTGCCTGGCTGCCATGTCCTTGGCTACGCTGCTCTGTGTGGGCCACGCTCGGGGGTGACTCTCCTCCAGGGGGGCTGCTGGTGAGGAGGGGGTCATGGGGGAGGCGAGGCTGGGGCAACGGCACGTGTGCCCACAGAGAGGTCTCCGACTGCTGCCTCTGGCACGCGTGCCATAGGTTCGCCACCACTGATCTAGATACTCAGAGTACCTATGACATCACTGGTTTATGTTCATATACTTGGCATATTTTTGCAAAATAAGACATACTATTATGCAACATCACTTGTTGATATCCAGCACTTGAAAATGATGTGCAGGATTATTCACTATATGTTTTGCTTATGTTTTGTTTGACTGTCAACTATATGCTACTCTTAAGCTAAGATACATAGTATCCCCATCTGATAGAACTTCAGAGTCCATTGGGATCTAAATTGTAGATTATTTTATTTCTTCCTGGGCTTTAACTTATACATGTGAGCAAAAGTTTATAGTTAAGGAAGTTGAGCTAAGAACCCATTATATCAAACAAAATTGGGGTATCATGTAAAGAGGGTGTATTTTTCTGAATATTGATTCTTTGTATTTGCCACATATATATTTTATTACTGTGTTTTCTTTTATCTATATTACCCAAGAATTATATCCTGTATTTTATTTTATTTTTATTTTTTGATATGGTCATAAGACTAAACAATAAATTATTTTATAACTATATGTTAGATGAAGTAAGTCCCCTGTATTGTGAAGTTCAAAGCACTTCGAATCTGGGTTTCTTCATTTATGACTAATACAATGAGACATTGTAATCCCTTAAATTTTGAAAAGCTAATCCCACAATATTACTATATAATTCTTCTGTATTATTCACTCAAAACATAAAGTCAGCTAAGAATGGAAAATAAACAGGAAAAAAATGTTCTGCTTGTAGGCACTTTATGTTTAATATCATGCAGACATATTCCATTGGGACAACCATAACCTGGATGATTGATAATCTCCATAGACATCATGCAGATATGTTTGCTATTGTTTAAAAAAAATCATATCTTAAAATTCCTGTGAATTAATTTTAAGAATATTTAATAAATTAAAAAAATATTGTGTTGAGAGAAAGATATAGTTTTGAGTTTTCTTAATATACTCCCATTAAGACATACTGTTCCCTGGAGACTCTGAAACCTAAATGTCCAAAGTGATAGAACCAGAGTTTCTCATCTCCATTATAGTTCAGTCATTCACTTGTCCTATTCCATTCCCAGATATTATTATAACATTTCTCATACTTCACCCTTCACCTTTGCCCAAATCAGTGAATTACCTGTAAGGGCAACACATGGAGGGCAGAGCTTATAGCACCAGTTGCTAGAAATCGTAATTGTTCTTCAGAGCAAGAAGTTAGAGTTTTCTCCTAGGCAATTACATTTCAGATATGAGCAGTAAAGTTGTTAAATTTTAACATTAGCTATGACTTACAGAAATACTCTGGTGCTTTTCTTATATTATTCTTATATTATTATTCAGACTTTATAAGTTTTATTGTTGTTTTATATTGTTGCTTTATATCTTACATGTTTTTTGTCTTCTAAATATTGACCATGGATTGTAAATAAATGAATATATTTCACCTGCAGCTTGACAGAGACAGGATAATTCTATTCCTTTTCCTTAAATGGCAAAGTAATATATAAGCTTTACAAGAAGTACACTATTCCAATTATTGTGAATTGTTCATAATCCTCAATTTATGGTCATAATGGAGCCTGCTCATTACAGTCATAGGCCATGATGATCATAAAGCAGATCATCATATGACTGAACTGATTTCACAATCTTTTTTTCATGGCAATTGTTAAGTGAAACACCATGGTTGTTAAGAGACTCCATTGTTCACGATGGGGCATTTTGCCAAAAGACATAAGTAAATGGATGGAAGGAAGGAAGGAAAAGAAAGAAAGAAAGAAAAAAAGAAAGAAAGAAACCAGCGTCCCACGCCAGCAAAGCCAATGAGGAAGCCAGCAGGAAGTTGGGAGTTGATCTTGCTCCCTCTGCTTTTTTGCCTGTTCCTACTCCTTCTTTTTCTCTGTTTATGTAAGGGAATCTCTCTGAAATGACCCCAAGGGTCACATGCTATTTAGTTTAGTCATGAAAACCATGACTAAATGAACAGAAAGATTAGTGGCCCAATTTTGGGACACTCTAGGTCAGTGATGGCGAACCTTTTAGAGACTGAGTACCCAAACTGCAATCCAAAACCCACTTATGTATCGTCAGGTGCTGGGTGGGCGTGGCCCATTGGGTGGGCGTGGCCGCAGTGGTAACGGCAGACTGGGTGGGACTAAAAAGTTCAATCAATTCCAACTTTGTGAGATTTTTTTTCCCTGCGAGTTGAAATTGATTCAACCGGGAGGTTTTTTTGCACACGGCGGCGGAGGCCTAAAGCGAAAAGGTTTTATAAAACCCAGCTGAAGGCCTAGGACTGGAGCGATGGTGCGTATGCCCACAGAGAGGGCTCTGTGTGCCACCTGTTTGCCACCACGGCTCTAGGTGAAATGGATTGTCTTACTGCTTCGCAAACACTTTCCTTCATTATCCAAACTGCTTATCAGAAAGTCCTTTTTACCCAATGTAGTAAACCTTTGCTAGAACGACAGATAGAGGCTACATAGAACTTTGTGGTAGCTGATGTGCCAGTTGAAGTCCTACCTAATGCAGAGAACCTGGCTATAGTAATCTGTGCTCTTATTATTATGAATTTTATCTAGTTTATTTATTTATTTATAGTTTATTCCAAAATTGCAAATGTATAGAATGTGGCAGCTTGCCTACTGGATGGCTCCTGCAGTGAGAGCATATTAACATCAGTTTTGTAGGCTATGCACTGGTTCTTGATAAGTTTCTGAATACAAACAAGCATTTCCTTTTTTCCTTCCTTCCTTCCTTCCTTCCTTCCTTCCTTCCTTCCTTCCTTCCTTCCTTCCTTCCTTCCTTCCTTCCTTCCTTCCTTCCTTCCTTCCTTCCTTCCTTCCTTCCTTCCTTGTACTGTGTTTACAAATTATAATGAAGATTTTGGCATTAAATTCAAAGATAAGATAGACAGATAATCTCAGAAAATGCATTCATTGT